ATGGTGACCAATACAGAATACAAAGTGTTCCAAATGTGGTCTTACTGGATCAATATAAAGCAGTACTGAAGGCTCTGAATGGTAAGACGAAGATCTGAGACAGCCTGAGACAGGGATCCCGCCTGAACTAAGACATCGTCTAAATAACAATGGAGCCGAACCGGCACCGATCGCAGATGGGCCGCTAGAGCAGCCAGGACCTTTGTAAAGGTCCGCAGGGCCGAGCCCAGGCCAAAGGGAAGAGCCCTGTACTGGTAATGGCGGGACCCGTGAGAGAAACTTAAGAAACGGCGATGAGCGGGCAGGATGGGAATGTGAAGATAGGCCTCCGTGAGATCCACGGAAGCCAGGAAATCGCCTTTTCTGATACCCTGTAGGATAGACTTGAGCGATGACATTTTGAATCGCCTGTAAACCAGGAACCTGTTCAGGTGCTTGAGGTCTAGAATTGCTCTCCAGCTCTCCGGGACCACAAAGAGATTTGAGTAGTGGCCCAGGCCCCGTTCCCCTGCGGGAACCGCCTCCACCGCTTGAATTTCGAGGAGGTGGGCAATCGCCTGAACCATCAGGCAGCGGCGCTCCCGACTCCGGGACGGAGGGAACGACCGGAAGAGGTTTGGAGGAGTGGAGAGAAATTCTAATCTGAGCCCGTGACGAACCGTGGCTTGGACCCAGGAGTCTGACGTGATTTCGTCCCACCGGTCCCCATAGAGGGAGAAGCGGCCGTCAATGGGACGACTCAGGTTCGAGTCACTTCCCTCTGCGGAAGGGACGGCCGCCTCCTCCACGAAAGGGCCGCCGAGACTGGCCCTGGAAGTGATTCCTGTCTTGAAAGGATTGCCCGGAGAATTGTCTGTCAGAAGAGAAGGAAGAGAAGCGCTGGTTATAGCCATAACTAGGAGCCCTATACCATTGCCTACAGAAAGGACGCGACTTAGTCTCGGCCTTCTTAGCCGTGGAGGGAACGACCTTCTTTTTGTCCTTATCCTCCACCAGAATGGGAGTAAGGGCCTCCCCGAAAAGATTGGGTCCTTTAAATGGAGCAGCTGCCAAATCCCATTTCGCCTTGTTGTCCATCTGCCAGTGGCACAACCATAGAAGCCTACGGGAGGTGACAGAAGTGGCCAAGGCACTAGAGGCAAACTTGACCGTAACTAAGGTCGATCAGCCGAGAACTGACAAGCTGCCAAGATCTTAACCAGATCTTGATGGATCCGGTCTTCCTGGATGGGGATGCACCCCTGAAGCTTCTTAAGCCACATGACAGTGGCCCGGTTAAAATAAGAAGCCGAGGCCGCCGACTTAATAGCCCAAGCTGTGGCGTTAAAGTTCTTCCACAAGGTAAGCTCAGCGTGCTTATCCTCTGGCTTCATCTTGTCTGCCACATCGCCCGAAACTACCGGGGAGGAGGAAACCAGGGCAGCCACAGGGGTGTCAATGGTTGGCAGTTGAATGGCCTGAGCAAAGGTCTGCTCAACGTTGTAATGCCTACGGTCAGTACTGCCAGGAGTTGAAAAATTGGAGGGACGAGCCCACTGGTCCGTCAGCACCTCCAGAAACAAAGGAGGGGCAGGGATCTCCTCCTTGTTGGTGGCCGTGGCAGAAAACATGACCATATCGGGATCCCTAGGGGCGGGCACTGAAGGATCCCCGGTTCCAACCTTGGTGGTCTGCCTCGCCTTATCCAAGAGCATTTTAAACATGGCGGGCACAAAGAGGACCTTGGAAGAAGGCTCCTCAGAAACGGTGGTATTCTCATCATCCGAGAAGCCCATCTCCTGGGGAAACTCCCCCCCCCCCAAGAACGAAGCCTCACTGACCATGGAAGGAGAAGAGGCCCGATACTGAACCCTGCCTAGCCCCCCATGTCTAGAAGAAAGGGAGCCCTTGTCCCACTGGGCAATGCCCCGAGTGATGGCTGCAGAAATAAGCCTTTTAATCCCTTCAGGGAGATTATCCAGATCCTCCACATCNGCTGACTCTCTGTAAACCGCTTAGAGAGGCCTGAAAGGCCTATGAAGCGGTATATAAGTCTACTGCTATTGCTATTGCTATAATTCTATTTAATTCTAGCTAATTCTCATGAGCAGCAGGAATAGGTCAAGATTCAACCTCAAAAGCTACCAGCAAGCACAAGCATAACCATTTTGTCTGCTACTCATCATCTCTTAGTACATTCACAAGAATTAATTACACTTTAGAAAAAATACTTCCAAACTCTAACCTAATATTTTCTTACCAGGAATATAGAATAGTTCCAACAACTGAAGTGAGTTTGCTGTTCTCCTGTTTTTGCTTTGCAAGACCAAAGTCAGCTGGAAATATAGAAGAAAAGCAAATTATGTTTATTATAGGTTCGCTGTTAATACAAGTTCATTTAGAACAATAATTTTCTCTGTCCTTTTATACCACTAGCCCTTGATTCATTCTATTTGCTCATCTTCTACATTTGCCTTTGAAATGAATTTCAATCAGATGTAACAATTTTGAGGCAGTTGCCTGCCACAATTCTAATTTACAGTGCCATTCATTCTGATACCCTGTGCCAGCAGCAAGGAAATGAAACACTGTTTAAATAAATATAAAAATCCATTTATTAAGATAAAACTGAACAAAAGCCAAACCAAAAACATACAAGCAAAATAAATACCCCCCCCCCAAAAAAAAACCTATATCAGCTAGCAATCTTGGCAATCCTGTAATTTAAGAACAATAATTTCTTTTTTTTATTATATATTTTTTATTTTTTTGTTACATAAACAACACATACCCACAACAGTGGGGGGGGGGGAGTCAAAACAAAAAAGAACAAAAAACAAAACAGAGAAAAAAGAGGACACAACAAGTATATGTTATAAAAAAGTTTTTGTGCATCTCTTCCATTAATTCATATTAATTCAAATATCTTAACTCAACTGTTTACCATATTAACATCATCATACCTCCACTTTCAGTTGACTACAGTTGTTTAAACATCCTTCATCCTTAACTATACCAAAAATTTAATCCATAACCACATGCTGGCATTTCATTTATTTGTTTATAAAAAGGACGTTGGTCTTACCTGAACGTCTATTTTCTGAGGGGAGGAGGGAATGGTCACATGTGGGTTTTATC